CTCAGGAATTATTCCTGGCGGTGCTTGGAGGACCATATGGGATGCTAGGGGACTGAACCTGGGTTGGCCGTGTGCAAAGCAAACGCCCTACCCGCTATGCTATCGCCCTGGCCCCCTTATTATACTTCTTATGGAGCTTAGCCTGTCCCTTCTTGATTCCAGGGTAGGTAGCTTACAGCTTGCCCTGGGTCCATACTTGTCCCTCGGAGGGACCCCCGTTTTGGGGTATTAGGAACCAAGGGCAACTGAGGCTTAAATTGAGTATACATGATGGATGCCCAGGAGTAAATATTATTTGGAGCCAATTAACGCCCATGTTACAAAAGCACAGCATTAACTGTCTTCCTGGGTCAGAAAGGACAAGAAGGACATTGCTCTAAAGTAAACTCTGCAAGGGGCTGGAGCAGGTAAGGTGTTTGCCTTGCACGCAGCCAACCCAGGTTCGATTCCCAGCATCCCATATGGTCCCCTGAGCACCGCCAGGGGTAATTCCAGAGTGAAGAGCCAGGAGTAATCCCTGTGCATCGCCAAAAAGAAAAAATAAATAAACTATGCAAAGGACGTAAAGGAAAGAGAAAAGCAATATTTCACTTACATGTACAAGATGCAGAGTCCTCAGGAGAATCTGACTTGACAAGTCCGAGTCTGCCTTGGAGTGTTAGTGATCAGCAGAGTGGAAGCAGAGCACAAGGGAGGGGTGAAAGATAAACACAGAGAGCAGAACTCGATCCCCGCCATGCTCACGGCCAAACTCCACAGGCTCGGACGAGCCTCATCCATGAGGGAATCTGCTCAAACACTAGCTATGTGGGCTTTGTGACTGAGATTTTCAGGTTCACACGGAGTCAGGGATGGGCAACCTCCCGCCACCTCCCTGTTCTTCCAGGAGCCTGGCAGTCATGCTCAAGAGCTGCCTCGTGAGTTCATTAACAGCCACGATCTAGAGACTCACAAATAAATCTCAGAAGAGAGCAACAAGCTGCAGAGGCAGAGATACCTCTGGACCCCAGAGTCATCATCTAGTTAAAAACTTGACTCCAGGGGCTGGATCAATAGCACAGGAGGTAGGGCGTTTGCCTTGCACGCGGCCAACCTGGGTTCGATTCCCAGCATCCCATATGGTCCCCTGAGCACCGCCAGGGGTAATTCCTGAGCGCAGAGCCAGGAGGAACCCCTGTGCATTGCCGGGTGTGACCCAAAAAGCAAAAAAATAACAACAAAAAAAAACTTGACTCCAGGGGCCAGAGTGATAGTACAGTGGGTAGGGCATTTGCCTTGCATGCGGCCATTCCAGGTTCGATCCCCGGCATCCCATATGGTCTTCCAGGAGTAACACCTGAGTGTGGAGCCAGGAGTAGCCCCTGAGCATTGCTGGATGTGACCCAAAAAGCAAAATAAATGAATAAAACTTAACTCCAGCTGTATCAACCTATTCAAAATTTTAGAATTCCTGGAGATTTGCAGCTGCATGACATCTCACACTCTATACCACCGATATACCAGGAGTAGCACACCACATTGAATGGGGTATAAAATAGAAGGCAACTTATTTCAATTATATATATATATGTATATATATATATATATAAGCACACAAGGCTCAACCTGTAAAAGCATGTTAGTAAACCTCTTATACATGGGCTTAATGGCTCCAGGTTGAGATACAAATATATTCACACAATTTCCTCTAAGGAAATCTCTTTTGATCATTTTTAGATTATTCATAACAAATAAATATAAAATAAATTATTTAGGGCCTGCTACTGGGGGAGACTTGGAATGTGGTTGGAAAAATTCAAAATATTGGTGGTAGGACGGTGTAATGGTAGTGGGATTGGTGTTGGAATATTGAATGTAATAAATTATTGTAAACAACCTGATTAAAAAAATCACTGTCACTGTCCTCCCGTTGTTCATCAATTTGCTAGAGCGAGCCCAGTAACGTCTCCATTGTGACAATTGTTACTGTGTTTGGCATATCGAATATATCACAGGTAGATTGCCAGGCTTTGCCATGCAGGGGAGATACTCTCAGTAGCTTACTGGGCTCTCCAAGAGGGGCGGAGGAATCAAACTCAGACTGGCCATGTTGGCTGTGTGCAAGGCAAATGCCCTACCCACTGTGCTATCGATCCAGCCCTGATTAAAAATAAAATTTAAAAATGTTTAAGTGGGGAAACAAGATAAACACAGAGGATTGGGAGTACGTGATGGAATTGGATGTTCCTTGGGAGCACTATGGTGGGAGTAACTCAAACCAGAGCTCCCTGCGCAGGGGAGAAAGGACAATACATCCACGGTCATCGCGGGGACACGGGGGTCACGGCCACCACAGGAAGTGACGTGGGTGGGGTCACAGTCACCACATGGACTGAGATAGGGTGTTAATACATTTCTGGGTTTTATTTTCCATTTTTGGGCACACTTCGTGATGCCCAGAGGTTGCCCTGGATCTGCACTTAGGAATTACTCCCGGCAACGCACAGGGGACATGTGGGGTGCTCGGGATTGAATGGGTTTGGTTTGGGCCCCTGAAGTTAATGCATTTCTTTCGGTTTTTTTGGTTGGGTTTTTTTTTTTTTTTTTTGCTTTTTGGGTTACACTCGGCAATGCTCAGGAGTTACTCCTGGCTCTGTACTCAAGAATTACTCCTGGCGGTGCTCGGGGAACTATATGGGATGCTGGGAATCGAACCTGGGTCAGCCACGTGCAAGGAAAACGTCCTACCTGCTGTGCTATCGCTCCAGTCCCAGTTAATGCGTTTCTACACTCCATGGCGTCACAAACCTGATTCCCCACCTCCACAGCAGCTGCGCGTACTGAAAGTTCCTTCCCTTCAAATGAGATGATGGTGACTGGCCTGCAAGCAACAGTCCGGCAGGTAAGGTGCGTGCCCTGCACTCAACTGACCCAGCACCCCACCTGGTCCCCTGAGCCCTGACAGTAGTGATCCAGACCACAGAGCAGGAGTGAGACTGGAGCACTGCCAGAGTGAGGCCCCCCAAACACAAAAACAAACAAAAATGTATGCAATGAAATCACACACGGGATCCCGCACACCAAAGAAGAGAGAAGGGGGGGGCGGAGCAATAGCATAGTAAAGTAAAGGCCCTCCCGTTGATCGTCGATTTGCTCGAGCGGGCCCAGTAACGTCTCCACTGGAGACTTTGTTGTTACTGTGTTTGGCATATCGAATACTCTCGGTAGCTTGCCGGGCTCTCCGAGAGGGGCGGAGGAATCGAACTCGCGTCGGCCATGTTGGCCGCGTGTAAGGCGAACGCCCTACCCGCTGTGCTATTGCTCCAGCCCGATAGCATAGTGGGTAGGGCATTTATCTTGCATGTGGCTGACCCAGGTTCAATTCCCAGCATCCCATATGGTCCCCCAGCACCGTCAGGAGTGATTTCTGACTGCAGAGCCAGAGTAACCCCTGAGCATTGCCGGGTGTGACCCAAAAAGCAAATAAATAAATAAATAAATAACAGAGGGAATCGGGGACTTCAGGGGCAAAGACATCCTCAGAGCAGGTGAATTCTGCAGGAAGGGAGTGGAGACTGGTCGGCCACGGCAAGGTGGCCATGAGCTTACCCGTGGCACAGTGTGGCCAAGAGGGGAACAGGCAGAGAATGCCAGGGACCTCGGATGACCCCGCACAGGTGCTCTGGGCAGCAGCTGCCCCCAGTGCTCAACCTGCTGTCCTTCCTTCCTCCTCTGCAGACCGAGTTTGGAGGCAGTTCCCCGGGTCACTCCCCAGGACTGATGAGCAGAGCCTTTACCCAACATAAGGGCATACCAGGGAGGATAAAATGGCTACTACCCCCCAGAATGCCTCCACTCGGCCCCTGCAGGCAACTCCATTTCTCCTGCAGAATCCTCGCAAAGGTGGTGGGAATCACGCAGAGGCATGAGGGAGCCACTGGCTACTAATGAAGACTTCTCAACTGTTCCAGGAGATGAGTACTTGGCAGCCGGTTCCAGGGAAGCCAAACCCCAACGTGAACCTTCCCCTGGGTTAAATGGTACCTGTGGGGGTCTCTAGACTCACTCCTGGGTCAGCTGAGAGCAGGGCGCAAGCCCAGCTGCCGGGGTAGGCTGGCTGTGACCCCCACTGGCCTAAGTCCCTCGGCGTGGGAGAAGCTCAATACTGGATTTGGGGGTGGGGGTTCTGTGGCGGGGACTTGTCTGGGGGCTCTCCCCAGCCGTGCCCGGGGGTAGTCCTGGTTGCCAACCAGAGCGGCACGCCGCTCACCCTGCACAGTCTAGGGTCCGGCCAGGGACGGGGACTGCTGACCACAAGGCAGAGGCGCCCAGGCTGCCCAGGGGCTCCCTGCAGCAGACTGTGACCCTCCCCACCACGTCCTGATGCGAGTCCCGGGGCCAGTCAGGGACGGTGTCTATGAGACCCGTTTCGGCTGCGCCTGCTGCCCGCGTTCCCTCGACTTGGGATGGGAAGCGCAGCAAGTGCCCCAGAATCGGACCCGGGCGCGCGTCTCAGCCCGGGGACCCGCCGCCGCCCTCGTCCTCGCGCGCCCCTCCGCGGGCACCGAGGTCCCTTCGCGTTGCCCGCCCCCCCAGCGCGCTTTCCGTGGCCTCCCCCAACGGTCCCTCCGCTCCCGCGCAAAACAGACGGACCGCCCCGCCGGCTGAGGAGACCCCCGCCGCGCCCCCCGCCTCCCGAGCGCTCGGGTCGGAACGGGGGTCCCGGGGCCGGAAGAGCCGCTCCGCGGCGGGCGGCGCGCGTCCGGCGGGGGGCGAGGGGCCGGCGCCGGCCAGTCCCGGGCCTTCCCGCGCCCGCCGCCCCGCCCCGCCCCGCCCCGCCCGCGCGCGGGACCCCCGCCCCGGAGCGCCAGCCGGCCCGCGGACAATGCGCGCCCCGCCCGCGCCGCCCCGCCCCGCGCCGCCGCGCGCGCCCATTGGCCAGCGCCCGCCCCGCCCCCGGCGCGCATTGGCCGGTGCGCGCGGGGGGGGCGGGCCGGGGCGGGGCGGCGGCGGCGCGCGTGCGCGGGGGCGGTGCTTTGTCCGCGGCGCGGCAGCATGGAGGAGCTGAGCAGCGTGGGCGAGCAGGTCTTCGCCGCCGAGTGCATCCTCAGCAAGCGGCTGCGCAAGGTGCGTGCGGCCCGCGCCCGCCCGGGGCCCGCGCGCGCCGCCGCTCACCCCCCTCTCTCCGCAGGGCAAGCTCGAGTACCTGGTCAAGTGGCGCGGCTGGTCCTCCAAGTGAGTCTCCCCGCGGGGCCCGGCGCGCCGGGGCAGGGTCCGGCCCGGCCCGCCCTTTGTCTGGCCGGGCGCAGGGCGCGGGGCGCGGGGCCCAGCCCGCCCTGCCCTGCCCTGCCCTTGCCCGGCCCGCGCGGCCCCCGGCCCGCGCCCGCCGCCCGCGCCCCGCGCCCATTTGTTGCGCGCGCCCCCCGCCCCTCTCCCCGCTGTAACCCGAGCTGCCCGGGGAAGGCTGCGGCGCCCTCCCGCCCCGCCCCGCCCCTGCCTCCCCTCCTCACTCTCACTCTTCCTCACTCACTCTCGCTCTCTCCCTTTCTCCCTCTTCTCTCCTTTCCTCTCCCTGTCTCTGTTCATCTCCCTCTCTCTCCCTTTCTCCTCGTCTCCCTCTCTCCCTCTTCCCTTCCTCTCTCCCTCATCCCCTCTTCTTCCTCTCCCTCCCTCTTCGTCTCTTCCTCTCTCCGTCTCTTCCTCTTTCTCCCTCTTTTCTCTCTCTCCGTCTCCCTCTCTCCCTCTTCTCTCTCTCCCTCTTTCCCCCTCTCTCCGTCTCCCTCTCTCTCCCTCCCCCCTCCCCCCACGGACCGGGCCGGGCCCTGGGGAAGGGCCTCCTTACCCTCCTGGCCTCTCCCCTTCTCTCCCCGCCGTGTCCCACCCGCCCGCCCCGTTATTCCCCGCCTGGGCTGGTTGTGGTGCCTCCTCCCGCCCGGTGCCCCATCCTGGACCACCCGGCCCCGGGCAGGCTGGGGCGCCCCTGTGCAGCACACTCCCCGTGGGGTTGCGGTTTGGGCGGGGAGGATGTGTGGATGGGGTCCCCGGCGGGGTGGGAGGATGGGGCACCTGTTGGCCCCGCCCTGAGCCCGCCCCTTCTCTGCAGGCACAACAGCTGGGAGCCCGAGGAGAACATCCTGGACCCGAGGCTCCTCCTGGCCTTCCAGAAGAAGTGAGAAGGCAGGCGGGGGAGGGGCGGTCCGCGCAGGTTCTGGGGGGCTCCCTGCCCAGGGCCCCTGCGCGCCTGTAATGCTGGATGTTTCTGTTGGGGGAGGGAGACCTGGGTGAAGAGAGGGGCCTTGAGCCTTAGGGAAAGGGGCGGACCTGACTGCCGCCTGTCACTCATAGCCCTTTTAATTTTTTTCAAAAGGGCTTCTGCGGAGCCCAGCGTGGGGTGGGCAGAGGCCTCAGCACAGCTGCTGCCTGGTCTCTGGGACTCCCCCCCACCCTCGTTGGACTTTTGGGCTCTAGACTGGGCCCGCGGATCAGACGGGTTAGCAGAGCACCGAGCAGGAGCTCTAACCCACAGAGTCAGGAGGACAACACAACCCCAGCTGGGGGGTGCCGGGGACCCCCCAGGAAAAGCTCCTGCTGGGATCCGGGGGTCAGGCTGCACGGGGCCAGGGTTCTGTTTGGTTCTGCCCCAGACTGGCCGCCTGGCCTCATGGGTCAAGGGTGCCGGGATCACACTGGGGCTACTGAGTGCCAGCCGGGGGCCCTCCTGGGGTGCCGTGCCCCACCATTTGCCCGCTTAATGAGCTGGAATTTTCCAATTGTGCCTCTCCCCTGGGGCGGCACTCCTGAGGAGCAGCGGGGGTGCGGGGTTCAAACTGCCACTTGGGAATGGGTGGGAGGTGGCCACGGTGCAGCTGACGGGCAGCAGGCTTGGCTCCTCCCAGCACTGCCCGAGTCTTTGCGTCTGGGTCCATGAGCTGGGGTGTTTCTGCACCTGTGCCCCTTCAGTTCCCTGGGCCTGGGGTCCTGCTGACAGGGTTTGTCTCCAGGGAGCAGGAGAAGGAGGTGCAGAGCCGGAAGAGGGGCAAGCGGCCTCGGGGCCGGCCGCGGAAGCTCACAGCCATGTCCTGCAGTCGCCACTCCAAGCTCCAGGTGGGCATGGGACTCAGCTCTGGCAGGAGGGGTTGGGGTACACCCAGCTGCGCCTCACTCCACCCCTGCCAGCAGGGGGCGCCCGCGAGCTGCGTGGCTCCCTTGCTGACTGCTGCCTGTGGGGTGGGGGGTACCCGAACAGCGGGTCGCTGTGCTGGTGCCGGCTCCCCAGAGGTCACCACTTCCTAGCCAGACTGGCCTCTTTGGGGACGGGCACCCTCAAAGCCAAGGAGGACGGTGGCTGGCTCTCCTGTGTGCTGAAAGGTTCTGAGCGGATCCACGTTGGGCCTGGGGAATGAGGTGGTCAGTCCCTCCTTATCCCTTCACTCACGGCACGGGGCCTCCCTGAGGTGGGGAGGACCCTTGCGTGTCCCTTCGCCTCTACTCATGTTACAAACCTTGCAGCGCTGGGGGTCAGACTTGGGGGCTTGACCGTGCTGGGCATGGCTCCCGGCCCGGGAACTGGGGTGGCCAGGGTACAGCTGATGCCCTCCTTGTTCCCCCAGGAGCCCGCCGCCCCCTCCAAATCCAAGTCCAGCAGCTCGTCCTCCTCGTCTACCTCTTCCTCCTCGTCCTCAGATGAAGAGGACGAGAGTGACCTGGATGCCAAGCGGGGCCCGCGAGGCCGCGAGACACACCCAGTACCCCAGAAGAAGGCCCAGATCCTCGTGGCCAAGCCAGAGCTCAAGGACCCCATCCGGAAGAAGCGTGGCCGCAAGCCGCTGCCCCCCGAGCAGAAGGCAGCCCGCAGGCCTGTGAGCCTCGCCAAGGTGCTGAAGACGGCCGCTCGCAAGGACCTGGGGGCCCCTGCCGGCAAGCTGCCCCCGCCGCTCAGCGCCCCCGTAGCCGGCCTGGCTGCCCTCAAGGCCCACGCCAAGGAAGCCTGCGGCGGGCCAGGCAGTGTAGCCTCCCCGGAGAGCCTGGCCAGCCTGATGAAGGGCATGGCGAGCAGCCCCGGGCGGGGCGGCATCAGCTGGCAGAGCTCCATCGTGCATTACATGAACCGCATGAGCCAGAGCCAGGCCAGCAGGCTGGCACTCAAGGCCCAGGCCCCCGGCAAGTGCAGCCTCGGGCTGGACCTCAAGGTAAGGACGCAGAAAGGGGAGCTGGGAGGAAGCCCCCCGGGAAGCAAGGTCCCCAAGGCCCCTGGCAGCAGCGGGTCCGGGGGGCAGGAAGGGGGCGGGGCTGGGGGGGCCCCCCACAGCCACGGTGGCAGCAAGACCATGGTCCGCGCCCCAGGCCCCCAGCCCGCCCCCACCCAGGAGCTGAGCCCACAGGTGCTAGACTTGCAGAGTGTCCGCAACGGGGCACCAGGGGGGCCCCTGGCTGCCCGCCAGGCCCCGTCAGCCAAGGGTGGCCCCAGCGTGCACGCTGCTGGCGGGAAGGGTGCGGGCGGGGGACCCCAGGCGGGGAGCACACCCGGCACCCCCACCGACTCGGGCAGGAGCGAGAAGCTGGCCTCCAGGGGGGTACCTGTGCCTGCCCCCGCGGGCAAGAGGGACAGTGCCCGGGGGGGCCCTGGCCCCGAGGCCCCCGCCGTCCCCGGAGAACCCCGCAAGGCGGCTGCACTGTCGGAGGTGAGCTCGGCCGAGTCTTCTAGCAGTTCGGACTCGGACCCGGACCCAGCCTCGCCGCCCGGCGCCGGACACAACCTGTCAGTGTCGGTGCAGACGAGCCAGGACTGGAAGCCAGCCCGCAGCCTCCTGGAGCACGTGTTTGTCACCGACGTCACCGCCAACCTCGTCACCGTCACCGTGAAGGAGTCCCCGACCAGCGTGGGGTTCTTCAGCCTGCGGCACTACTGAGCCTGCCTCGGCTGGTCTGCGCCCCATGCCTCAGGGAACTGCCCAGGCTCCGGCTGCTCTTGTGGGGGCCGAGGGACTCGTGCTGCCTTGAGCCTCCTGGCAGTGCCCCTCCCCCCCGCCCCTACCCGGCCTGCTCAGCCCAAGAGCTGGGGTGCAGGCAGTCTGGGAAGGGGGTTCACATCTCAGCCCCCCGCTCCCGTTTGGCTGGGTGGGAGGAGCTGCGTGACCCCTGAGGGACCAGGCAGTACCTCAAGTGGATGGATCCCACCTGCCCTGACAATCCCCCCACTTTTGGGGGCCCCACATATCTGCACGACAGAATCCCGGGGTGCAGTGGCCTCTGAGGCTTTGTGATGCCAAAAAGGGGGTCGGTAGGCTCGCCAGCCAGCAGATATCGGGCTTCTGGGTGCCCCTAGCCCCTCACCCTCCACACCAAAAAGGAGCCGACCACAGGCTGCGCCACAGCCAAACCCACGCCCCCCTGGGCCTGCAGGGGCACCCGCGGGTGCCCGCGGCTCTGCTGCCTCCGTCTGGTGCCTTGTGTCCCTGGTGGGCTGCTTCCGTCCCAAAGTTTGGGTCTGTGGGCACCTCCTTCTGCTGGTGCCACACACTGTGACGTCTTTCTGCGTGCTGTGACCCCCCCCGGCAGATGTTTTCCCTCTGTTGGGGGCACATGAGCCCTTAATCCAAGGAGTCCTGTGAGTTGCTGCTATGGGTGGCCAGGTGTGGACTCTGGCGGCTTCCTGCAGGCCCCACCGGTGGACGCTGAGGGGGTCCTCTCGCCGCCAGAGTGGGCAGGCAGAAGTGACCACACACCCCTTCCTGGGAGGGCTGGACCTGTTAGTGCATATAAGCTTTGTGGGTACCAAAAAGGGTGTTCCTCGTCTGAGGTGCACTCAGGACTCGGGCTGGACTAGAGGTCCTGTTGGGGAGAGCCAGAACTTCGACCAGTGCCGATCCCTGGCTTGATCTATGTCCTTTATCTAAAAAGCCAAATGTCCCTACGGAGCCAGAGCAGTAGTACATGCAGCCGGTGCGGTAGGGCCCAGCTTCCATCCGACACCCCACACGATCCCTTTACCCCGCCAGGAGTGATTCCTGAATTTGTCAGGAGTAACCCCCTGTAGCCCAAAAACAAAGAGATTGTTCCTGTCCGCCACTCCTGATGCTTTAAACTATGCCAGCGTTCTCTAGAGAGCAGGGACAAAGGTGGGGCTGGTGACACCTTCCTGGCCCCCAGCACCTCAGGCAGAACCGGGAACAACTGCTCCCCAGGATCCCGCGGGCAGGCCAGGGGTGCCAGGCCGCCCAGAATCTTCCTCAAGTGCATCTAAAGATTTGTGGATTTTTCTAGTATTTTTGCAAAACTAATGCTAGAGCTAGATAGCAGATATTTTTTAGTGGGATGTTAATTTATTTTGCAGGGGAAAGACATTAGCAAATGGTCTCAGAAGATCTTTGTCTCTGTTAACTCAGTATATCAATAAATATTTTGCTTAACTTTCCAGCCTGGTGTACATCAAGTGATTAATGAGCCCCAAGGCTGCCTGGTTTTTTTTTTCCCCTTTGTGGTAGAGGGGGCCCGGAGCTTTTCCTTAAGGGAGAGCCCCTGGACCCAGCCTGGGGGAGAGAACTGACCTCTTTCCCCGAGCAGAGGGTGCCTACTGCCAGGCTCCACCTAAGGGACCATTTAGGGAGGGGGCGGGGCAGGGGCTTCTGCTACTGGTCACTGGGGAGCTTTCTCAGGAAATAAGCTCAGATGTCCAGAACCAGGCGCTTTGCTTCCAAACGCCCGCGCCTGCGCCTGCGCCTGCCACGGGCCACTTTCTCAGGCTCCGCGGCCTGGGGTGCGGGCCCCTCGCCTGCTGTAGCTCGGAGCTGCTTGCCTGGCCTTTACGGTCTCAGTGCTTCCCAGCCTCCAGACCAGGAGTCATCTGGGTGCCCGTCCTCGGAAGGCAGCTGGGAGAGGCCTGTGCCAGCCGCGGGGTCCCCCTGCCAACACGCTGCCCCCTGCAGAGACGGGAAGGACGGGAGGGGGGGCGGCGGTCGAGGGAGGGGCTGCTCTGGCCGAGGCTGGTCTGCGAGGCTGGGGGGCTTCGTCTCCCGCCTTCTCGACTGCCTGGGGGTCCACCCGCCTCCGCCTGCTGAGGCCCCTGATGCTGAGGATCCGCGAGGTCTGCGCACACGGTTCGGTTCGACTGTCTGGACCTCCCTCCCCCGGGGGCTCGCCGGGAGAGTGCAGGGGAGCTGTCCGCGGTGGCCCTCCCTCTCTGGGCCCGGGCCCGGGCCCGGTTGGAGGCTTCGCGGTTCGGTTCCGGACCCGGGAGGACGCGCAGGAGGCCCAGGGCTGCCTTCGCCTCCAGAGGGCGCGCGCGTCCCGCCAAGGGCGCCTCGACGGCGCGCGGGGCCCGGCGGGACCCCACGACGCGCCCGACGCGAGGCTCCCACGAGAAACGGCTTCCCCGTGCGCGGGCCGGCCGGCCCCGCACGCCGCAGACAAACCCGCGGGGCTGGCCGGGCCCGACCCGGGCCGGACCCGAGCCGGGACCCGCGTCTCCCTCCGGGGCGCGGCCGCCCGGCAGCCGTCGGGGCTGCGGCGCGCGCGGGGCTCCCCGGGGCGCGCCCGACTCGTGCGATCCACGGGCCCGACCGGCGGCCACTCGGGCCGGGGACCAGCGGGCGTTCGTGCCGCCCCGGACCAGCCGGCCCTTGTCCCGCTCTCCCGGGAAACCGAGCCGCGGGAGTTCGGTCCCGGGGGAAGCGGCTCCGGTCCGAGGCCAAGCCGGTGACCGGCCACCAACCTGGGAGACAAGGGCGCGGGGGCATGAGCGCGCTCCCGTGCCGACACCCGAGCGGACGCGGAAGCCCCCGCCGAGTGGCCGGAGGAGCGCGTGGACCCCGCCGCCCCCCGCGCCCGCGCGTCACGTCCACACGCGCTCGGCGCCCAGCTCCCGCGGCGATGCCCCCACCGTGACCGTCGGCGCGGCCACGCGGTCCCTCCCGGGGTCTGCCCACGCGAGCCACGCGACCCCGGGGACCCAGCGGAGAGCGGGGCCGACAGCGGCCCCCGCGTGCGCAGCCCCCTCCCGCTGCGTCTGCGCGCCGGCCGCGTCTGGGAGGCGGGAACCTGGATCGCGGCGCCGGCCGCGCTGGGGGTGCATGGGGCTCCGCTCCGGGGTGGGCCTCGGGACCCCGCCCCGGCCCGGGACCGACGCCCGCGCGCCCTGGGCGCGGGGCTGCGCGCGGCCGGCGGGGCTGCTCTAATCACATCAGCGCGCCCGGCCGGCTGCACGCGAGCAGTTGCCTAGCAATGCCCGCGGATTCAATCCTCAATCAATAGGCGCGAGGCTCTGCACTTCGGGGGGCGCTGGCGAGCCCGGGTGGGCCTTGGCGGAGAGAGACGCCCCCAACGCCGCGGGGGCAGGCCGGGAACCACCCGAAACTGGGCTGCGGGGCGCGGCGGCCGCGCGGGATCCCCACGTCGGGGCTGGGGGTGCGGCGCGCCACTGGAACCCCCCCAGAGGGAGGCGGCACCCAGAGGGGGGTCCCGGAGAAGGTTCGCCCCCAGAAAGGTGCGGTGGAGACGGGGGGGGGGGAAGCTACGCCCTCTGGGGCTGGGAACGCCTGCCCCGCAACCCCGTGGAGTGTCCCCAGGCAGGAGAGTCGCCCGCCGGGATACGCAGAAGAGGGGTGGCCGAGGGGGCAAGCCGAGGACAGGAGGGCGCGCCCTCCTCGGCTGGGGCAAGAACACCGAGACACGTGTCTATTTACAAAGGATATATTTCAACACGCAAACGGCGCGAATACAGACACCCAGACCGACCGCGGAGCCCGCGCCCCGCAAGCGCAGCCCCGCGCCCCCGCGCCCCCCCCGCCCCGAGCCGGGCGCACGCGCGCGGCACGGCCCGTGGGCCCAGGGGCCGTTCCCTCTGGCCACAGAGTGTCCCTTCGGTGGAGTTCCACTGGAGAACAGCGTCGACGTCGAAACAGATCCAGTCGGTGCACGGCGCTTCTTTACACAAAGTCTCAAATACCAGTTTCACAAATGCGAGCAGATAAAAAAAATCCCCAGGAACCACTTGGTGGGAGCAACTCGATATTCAGCACCAAGCCGAGTCCTGCAGACCCCGCGGGGAGGGGGCAGGGAGAGGCCGAGGCATCGGAGGGGAAGGGTCTGCGCGCAGGGGCTCCGTCCTGGGAGGGCCAGGCGGGGACGGGCTTGTGCTTTGGGCCTGGAGGCGCGGAAGGTCCCGGAGCGGGCGCTCACCCGCCGCCGCCTCCCCCGCCGGGCGCTCCCGACCTCCCGCGGCTGCCCCCCTCTTTGGCGGAGTTTGAATGTCGAGTTTAAATAGAGAACACTCCTCGAATCGCAAAGCCGATAAATTATAGCTTTTGCTTTTAAGAAAATGGGGTGGGGGGCGGAGGGGAGGAGAAGTCCTGGTGCTCGCTCCTGGACGCCAACCTCGCCTCTCCCCTTCCCTTCCCGGGTGGCGGCAGGGGGCCAGTACGCAGCCAGGGGGGCGGGCCCTGGGGAGCAGGGCCCCCCACCGCCCCAACGCCAACAGTGCTCTTACAAAACAACCATCCCCAGCTCTGGGCACGGATGTGCAGTCTCCGCGTTTGTCCGGGCATTTGGGGAATGTAAACAGACCCGGGGAGTCCTCTGCCCTCTGAGGTTGGGCGCAGGGGGGGCCTCACACGCTCTCAGCGCCTCATAAAGTGCATTTCCTGGGGGGCTAGGAGGGGGGTCCTGTGGAAGGGCGCCTCCCTCAGCAACTTCTGCCTTCAAGGACACACAGTTATTCAAGTGAAGTGTTCTCCTCCCTAGCAGACCTCCTACTCTTAAGAGATTTCAAAAGATCTTAAATCTTAATCAGAAAAATATAGCAAAAAGACAGGCAGGCTGACCCCAGCGTGGGGAGTCGCCTCTTGTTGGCCTGGAGGGCCAAGGGGAAGGAAAACTGCTCGCTCCTTGGTTCCCAGGTACAGGGCAGCCAGGAGGGGTGGGGATGGGGACCCCGAGTACCCCAAGAGGTCCCCAGAGGCCCAGGACCCTGGTCCCCACCCTTCCTGGCAACCCTGGGTGCCTGGGGCACCCTCAAGCCTGACTCAGCCTGCCTCACCCCCTCTCTAAACTCCACTAACTCTCTGCTCGTTTAAATAAAACAACTTCAAGAGTTGAAATATATATATTTAGATATTTTTCTTAAATAACATATTTACATCTAATAGAAAATATAACTCTAGAGATAATCTTTCCAACCAAAACTGGGCGGGGAGGGAAGACGAATAAAGGAGGGGGGGGGATGTGAAGTTCAGGGCCAGGCAGCGGCTGAACCCCAAGCTGGACACAAGTCCAGGCGGCGCTGGCCCCCGCGACGGACGCTGGCTCTCCACTTCCCGCCCAGACTCATCTCTTCTCTTTGAAGAAGCCTTGGTCCGTGTTACTCTCCTTGATGGTGACGGTCAGAAAGTTTGAGGTCACGTCCGTGACCACCACCTTCTCCAGGTTGGTCAGGGAGGGGCTCCAGGCCTCCTCCTCGGGGTCCCCCAGGATTCTGGCCACGGGGATCCTTGCGATGAGGGAGGGCCTGCCCCCTTGGGCAGCCATGTCCCGATATAGGCCCCCTACTGCGCCAGGGGTCACGGCGCCGTGCCGGACCCGGGGCCCAGCGGGGTCCAGGACACCCTGGCCCTTGGCCTCCAGGAAGGCCGGCCTGTGCTTTATGACCCTGGCAGGAAAGGTGTCCACCACGAGCTTGCCTGCGGCCTCGGGGGCGGCAGGGCTGGCCACCCCACACGGGCCCGTGTCCGCGTCCTGCCTCCGAGCCAGCTGGATCACGCTGTGGCCGGCCGGGAAGGTCCCTGCTCCAGAAGACAGAGCATCGTCCAGCTTCCTGCCCTTGAGGTGGGTGCCCAGGCTGTCCCCCGGCTCTCCCAGAGGCCTCTGCGAAGGGTCCAGGAGCTCCTTCCGGGACTTGGGGCCTCGCTTCTTGGAGCTGTCCCCCGGAGAGCTGGGTTTGTCGTCTGCACGGCTGGCCACTCGCTCCTGCTCCCGCTCCCGTTCTCTCTCCCGCTCGCGGTCCCGGTCGCGGTCCCGAGGAGGGTCCACTCGGCAGGTGCTGGCGGTGCTGCTACTGCCCGGGGGGGTCAGGCCCATGTTCCGGAGGCCCTCCCGGGCCCGGGAGGTGGAGGCCAGGTCCTGGGGAGAGCGGCCAGGGTACGGGATCCGGATGCCCCGGGCCGAGTCACTTCGGAACTCGTATGCCTTGGCCTTGGCCTTAGCCTGGGCCTGCGGGAGCAAGCACAGAGTCAGGAGAGGGGTGGGGTCCCACTGCCCCCCAGGGCCTCTCCACAACCCCTGCCTCCCCGCCCCACCCTCGGGTCACTGAGGACTTCTCCATGAGTGGGGGGTGGGGCTGGCGGAGGAGAAAGAGGTTGTGAAGGACAGTCGCTGGCTACAAGACATTTCTGACTTTGGAATATGTCTCTATTCGGGGAAGGGGACAGGGAATTATTCCCATGCGGCCAGCCCTGCCCTCCGAGACACCCCTACCTGCCCACTCTCAGAGGCCCTTGGCCAGGGGCGCCAGGTGAAAAGCACATACATATGGCAACCAGAGCACAAGACTAGGGGCGTCACGGGAAGGGCCCAGGTGCAGAAACACTGCATTAGGTCAGACAGTTCCAGGGGGCACCCCAGCAGCCGCGCCTCAGACACACCCCCTCAAACACACCCCAAGGAGCATGGCCTACCTTAAGGAGGAAGGTTTTGGGTTTGGGTCCCCGCTTCTTGGGTCCATAGAGCTCCATCTCTCGCTCCCTGGAGGAAGGAAGAAGAGGGGTGAGTCTGGAGAGAGAGATCATAGGATGCCCCCTAAATGGGGGTCCCAGAGTCCTCCAGGTCCGAAGTGAGAAACTGACCTTTCCTCAAAGGCTGCTAGCAGGCGAGCATCCAGAATATTCTCCTCTGGCTCCCAGGTGCTGTATCTATGGAGAGTCAGGAAGAGGGGGCGTCGGCCCAGGGAACACGGAAAGAGCAGTGTGTGTGTGTGTAACTTTTCTTGTTGCATTGTATTGCATTTCAACATAAAGGGGAAAAAGAGGAAGAAAGAACCCTCGGAATAACAGGGCCCCAGAATTGCACAGAACCTACTTACTTCTGCGACCAGCCCTTCCATTTCACGAGGTATTCCATGCGTCCCTGCGGATGCAAAGGGGGAAATGTGTGTGAGTGTATGTGTGTACGCGCCCACGGCGAGAGAGATGCATGAGGACACAAGAAATACATGCAAAAATGCATGCACCAAATGAATGCGCGAAAGCCCAACGCGGAAGGCACGCGCCCTCTGCACCACCCCCCCCCCCGCACGGAACGCTGCACAAAGTGCATGCACCGGCCTCCACCCCCCACCCCGCCCCCCGCCCGTGCAATCGGTGCATCGCTGCAAGTCGAAGGAAAGCACTGGGGCTCAGAGCCGCCGCCTCCACGGCCGCGGCCGCGGCTGGGACCTGGGGGAAGGGAAGCTGGGCTGCAGCCGGGGGGAGGGCACCCGGGCGGGAGGGGAGGGCTCGGCCGGGCCTCGGCTCCAGGCCCGGGGGCACCTACTTTCCGGATGCGCCGCTTCAGGAGGGCTTCGGCCGCGAACACCCGCTCCCCCACCGCGGAAAGCTCCATGTTGACTCGCCGCTTCCCCCCTCGGCCGCTTCCAGGAGCAGAAAAGCAGCAGCCAGCGCACGACAGCCCATAATACTCTGGCGCTGACGTCAGCTCTCCTCCCCCCGCCCCCCTCCCGGCGCGCAGCTCCCTCCGCGCTGCCTCCCGCCCCACGTGTTGCTAACGACGTTGCTAAAGCGGAGCGGCCGGCGCCTGCACCCCGCGCGCCGATTGGACGGGCTGCGGGCCACGCCCCCTCCCTGTCTCCGCCGCGTTGCTACGTGACCCGCGTTCCAATCGCCAGGGGGCGGAGCCCGGGCGACTCCGGAGGCCCGGCGCGAGGGGGTGGGGCCGGCGCCGGAAGTGAGGTCGGCGGAGGGCGGGCCCGGCCGCTGTCAGTCTGCGGGACTGGCCGGGGGCCGTCCGCCCGGTATCCGCGCTCGGGCCCCCTCCCCCGCCGCGGGCCGGCCCGGCGGGACGCCGCCGGCACCCCCGGCTCTCCCCGGGGGCCCCCGCGGCCGTGTGAACCCGGCGCTCCCCTCCCGGCGGCCCCCGGCCCTCCCCGGCGCCGAGGCCTCGCGCCCTCCCCGCCCCCTCCCGGGCCCTGGCCGCACAATGCACAATGCACAGGTGCTGGGGCGCCGCGGACCGCGCCCGGACCCCCGAGCCGGCGGCGCGCCCCGCGCCCGCCCCACCCGGCCCCTCCTCCCCGAGCCGCGCGGCCGACCCTCTGTCTCCATGGCAACTCCCCCACCCCGCCGCCGCCGCCAGCCCCGTCCGGCGAACGAATCAATGTGCTCGTGTCTGGGGCGCGGGGCACGCAGCCCAGCCGCTGGGCACCCTTGGAACCTGCGGGCCGGACGGGGCTCGAACCCTCGTCCCCAGTTCGGAGGGAGCCGCAGACCCGGTGGAGGCCCGGCCGGGGGTGCCCCCTTCGGGCAGGGAATGTCGCGCGCTTCTCCCTCCTCCACCCACTCAGGCCCGACGCCCGCAGCCACCTGCCCCAGCGCTGCCGGGTGCCGCCCGTCCCCGCCAGCCCGAGTCCAGGGAGCTCCGGCCTGGGTCCGGAGGAGGCCGAGCGCGACCACCACGGCCGAGCCCGGACTCTGGCTAAGGCCGGGGCGCGTCCCGCTCCCCCCGAAGCGGGCCGACCCCCCGGGCCTGCGCCGCGCGCTTCCAGGTCTTCCCGAAGTGCGCGCAGGCGTCGGTGCAGCGACGCGCGGCGGGCGCGAAGGGGCCAGGGTCCCGCGCGGCGCGCCGGGAGGGAGAGGGGCCGGGCACGCGGGGTGCGCCCACGGCGGCGGCGGTCCCCGCCGAGGCCTCGGCGACGTTCCTCGTCGCCCTCGCGGCCCGTTTCCGCGCCCACTCCCCGGAACCCACCACGTAGTTGAGACGTCGAGGATGGATTTGACCTGAAGTCGTTTCTCTTGGCCGGAGGTGGGGTGGGCGCAGGGGAGAGGACGCGGCTGGAGAAAGGGAGGAGGCCGGGTTCCCCCAGCCGGCCCGCGCGCCTCCCGCCCTCTCCCCCAGCAGCGCCCCTCCCTGGACGCGACGCCTGCTCCTCTTTGGCCCTCTTCAGACTGCAGGTGGGCACCGGGTGCCCTTTCACCTCTCTGACCGGTCCATGTCAACGAACGAACGAGTCGGAGACGCCCGGGTCGCCCCCGTGACCCGCGCGGGCCGCCCACGAGAGGCCGCCGACGGCCGCGTCCTTAATCATAAAAAGTCATTCCCGGTAACAAATAGTTTCGTTGGCCGGTGCCAGCGATACAGCTGTTTCTGTTTAAGCTTAAATACTTTCCAACAGTTTGGGCAGTAAAAATAAAGTCGGCCTCAGCCGCCTGTAAGTGTCTGGTTTCCCCGCCCAGAGAAAGCCCACCCTCCGCCACGGGGCTCTGGTCGCCACAGCGCGCCCCTCGGGGACCTGCCCCCTGGGTCACTCCTGGTGCGGGCTGCCCCTGCCCGCCAGCCCCAGGACCACTTGAAAAACAGGAATGCGCTTGTCCCCTGTCCCGGACTGGTACAAGTGTGTCAACCTCACCCCAAAAGAGTTTCTGAGCCCTCACCCAGAAGAGTTTTTGAGCCCTCACCCCAAAAGAGTTTCTGAGTCCTCACCCCGAAAAGAGTTTCTGAGCCCCATACTGATGCTCCTCTCAGTGCCTCTGCCCTGCCCCGAAGTCCTTGGGCTGCTGGACCTAGTTCCAGGCTGCGGAGCCACCATTGGCTCCCTCCTCCCCAAAGGCACTTTCTTCTCTTTCCCTCCCTCCCTTCCTTCCTTCTTTCCTTCCTTTCCTCCCTCTCTCTGTCCCTCTCTTTCTCTATTTCTTCTTTGCTCAGAGTCGGAAGTGGCTGAAAGTGTGGGCACTGCATGAGCAGTTCCTCCTCTGCTGGAGGTTTCACCCCCTCCTCCATTTTCCTGCTCGTCTTTGAGCCTGGCAGTAAAATGCCTGTTCCGAACAAAATGATGGCTTGTGAGATGCCTGGCTTCGCAAAACTCTGGGATCCCTGCAGAGCACATGGCAAAGGTGCAGCTTGAGCCCTAAGGGTTAACCTGAGAACAACTGGAACAAGTCCCCGATGGACAGCAACAATTCTATTGGTGGGTGCGCTGGGGATGCCACGGGGTGCCAACATGTCTGGAGAGGGCATGGCTGGTGGGGGGATGGAGGCTCATTCGCACCTCTCCACCTCTCGGGCTGATCAGAGGCACTGCCTTAGAAATCAGGGCAAGGGGATCCCTGCTTGCCTCAACTCTGGGAGCCCCTTCTCTCCTCCACACCCCGACGGTGCTCCTGCCAGGTCAGAGCATTGCTTTTCCCAGGGGTATCTCATCTCCACGGAGGAAGCTAAGTTTCCCCACAGCGCTTCATCTCCCAGCTCTGCCACCTATTCCCCAGCAGCAGCCAGCAGGTTTGAGTGCGCTGCTTCTGCCGTAAATAAGGTAACTGCTTCCTATTACTTTAGCCCCATATGGCTACAATTTGAGTGTCTTTGGAGACAGTGCGTGTGTAGGGGCGGGGGTGGGGGGAGTGAAAGTGGAAATCAAATGCTCTCAGATCGCATTTTTATGAAGGAAATTGTCGGCGGACCCCGTGGCAGCCTCCCCTCCACCTCCTAATGCCCGCGGCGAGTTACCCTTTTCTCTGATGAAGAAATGCAGGTGCCCGTCCACCTCGGGACACCTAGGGACACCTGCTTCCGGGATGCTGGGGCCTCCGGGGTGCCTGCCACATTCTGGTGACCCTGACACACGACTCATGACTTCCCTTCCCCACCGGCCTTGATCTGCTCCCACCGCCTGCCTGCCTGCCTGCCCGGAGCCAGCCCATGCCCTCAGTGCTGGGCCCAGCCACCTCCCACCGGACAAGCCCCTGCCAGGGGTCCCGCTGCCTCCCCGCAGCCAGCCGCTGCTGAGTCTGGGAGTGGGCTAAGAAGCGACAGGCCAGGGCGAGGCACCCCGCTGCTGTGCCTGGGTCACTGGCCAGACCCGCAAGCCCCAGCCTGTCCTCCAGCTCCCAGGCAAGACGCCCCTGGCCCCTTCATCGGAGCCTTCGCATGCAGCAGCTGGAGGAGTGCTGGAGCTCTGCATCCTCACGGATGGGGCGGCAGATTCTCAGTGTAGCAGTTGCTGGGGGCTCAGGCAGCTCCAGGCTGGCCCTGAAGGGAGCATGGGGGGGCTGGAGGGCGATGGAGGCAGGGTGTTGCTAACTAACAGGGAGAACCCACAGGAGTGACCCAGAGAAGTCCCGAGATGTGGCCGGGGGCCCAAGCCAGAGGAAAAACTGAGGCAGAGATGGGGTTCTGGCGGAATAAGAGGGTCTCCTTCCCCTTTCCCTCTCCATGGATGCTCGAGCCCCCGAGAAAGGAAAGGGAGGGCTCTGACTGCACCCCAGACCCCACTCACCTGTGACATTGCCCCAACTCCCCGCCAAGGATGGGACTCATGGGGAGAAAGGGTCCCCCTGGCCAAGGGGAAGCCTCTCTGGGGGCACATTATCCCACATCAGTTTCACAGTAACCAGTCAGATCAGTCACCCTCATTTTGTAGATGAGGAAACTGAGGCCAAGGAATTGGCTCGGGGACCCCAGCAAGGGCTGTGATTGAGGGGAGTGAAGCCCACCTGTCTCCACCCCACCATGGGGGCTTCCATCCCTGAAGACCCGCCAGCTTGGGCACAGAACCAGTGTACCTAACCTGGCCCTTGGAAGCAGGCGATATGTCTGTCGTGTGTGTGTGTGTGTGTGTGTGTGTGTGTGTGTGTGTGTGTGTGTTGGGGGCGGACAGGGGCTCAAACTTTCTTCCTGGCAGAGCCGGCTTGCTGGGCTAAAGCCCACTTACAAGCTGGGTGTCCGGTGCAATTCATTTCATCACGCTGTGGCATCAGCTCCTAAAACCTTTCCCAGAAAAGCCCTGAGAACGTGGCACCCCCGGTGGATGGCGATGGGAGATGGGAGGCTGCTTGTCGCTGCAGTGTCACAAAGTTCTCGGTGCTCAGGGTTCATTTCAGGTCTCTGGGACCGGGAGGGTCCGACTTTCCCAGCAACCTTCCCCACGAGGGAGACCCAGGAAGAGCCGGTGCTGGAAGCCAGCTGCGTGCCTCTGGACAGTCTCCACTCCTCCCTCAGCCGGGACACCGCAAGGCACATCGGGGCTGGGGTGCCCAGAGCCTGCTGAGGCGGGCGCGCGGGGGGTCTCTGCCCGAGGAGCAGGCGCACAGCGCTGGAATTGGCACGCATGCGCGCACGGGCGCTGCCGGCTAGGCACCCCCAAACCGGCCACCGGGCAAGCCCACCTGGTGTTGTTAGCCAAAGCCACACGGAGTCCAGGGTGCACACGGGGCCGGCGGGGTGCAAGGGGAGCCAGCTCCGAGTGCACTGAACGGCCGCACCCCACCCCCATGCCAGTCCCGCAGGCCAGAGCAGCCCAGGAACCTGCCCTGCGTGTGGGTCTGCTCTGGTGCTGGCGAGGGGCTCGCATCTCACCGCTAGGGCACAGGCAAGAGAGGCCAGAGGGGTCGAGCAGCTAGAGACCAGTCCTGGGCTTCAGGGTTAGCTGTCCCCGACACCCCAACCCCGACTCTCCTGCAGTCTCAGGGCACCGGGACC